TTTTTTTTTTATTGGTCGTTCATAACATTACATAGTTCTTAATACATCATATTACACGGTTTGATTCAAGTGGATTATGAACTCCCGCTTTTACCCCGTATACAAATTGCTGTATCACATCAGTTACCCTTCCATTGATTGACATATTGCCTTTCTAGTGTCTGTTAAGGGGAATTTTTAACTAACTTTTCACACTGTTTGCATTTCTGTGATATTTGAATTTTCTTACTATGAACTTGTATTTTATTTTATTTTTTTAAAAGTCAACAGGAGTTAGCAATAAGATAGCAGGTCACTTTTCTATTTAATTTTTTATATTAAAAAGAATAACATGTAATGTAATGTTACAAGTAAAATACTTTAAAATGGTAATTTTTCTAGACTGAGTTTAAATTACAAGACATACTCTAAGGTTAGGAAAGACAGAAGGGAATGTTGGGAGTGAGCCCAGCAGCACCACTAAGAATTTTTATGAAAAGATTTATTGTGTGTGTTTGTAAGCCACAACCAGATAGGTAGCTAATATTGAATATAAATAACTGGGACTCAAAAAAAAATAACAGTTAATTTATATTTAGTATTTAAAAATTTTAAAGGTAGGCCAGAGAAGAAGGAGCATTTCATAAAACCAGAAAGATTTACTGCAGAGATGACTACTAAACCAATGATCCAGATTTCAGACCTTGCTATGAGACCTCAGGGAAAGTAGATTCATCCTTTAATCTCCTTTTCTACATATAAAATAACAATATTTGACCCAATGATCTTGATAGCAGCTCAGGATATCTCTAGCATATGAATAKGTTAAAATATATACACATTGTTTCTGGGGGCCTTTTCACCCTAAGTTGCTTTTCTAGAACTCTTTTCATACGCAAACTCCAACCAACTGTGCACCACTTGACATCTCTAAACATGTTAAGCTTTGCCCCATTCAGTGCTTTACTTCAGTAGAACCCTTTATTTTGAATACTTTTCCCTCCCAATCTAACTCCCATTTTTCTGCCTATTAAATTCAGTCCATTTTTGGAGTACTRATATACTACCCCACATTTGAGGCCTTTTCTGTTCACAAAGGCTTTTCTCTCAGTTGCCTCCTACACTATTAAAAATTTTTGTTATCATGACTCTGATAGACCTTAGTTCAGTCCTTCAGGGTCTTGCCCTAGCTCATCCTCTCCCCTATAGAAGATTATAAATTTCCTTAAGCACAGAGACCATGACTACTGATTTATTAGTTTCTTAGAACTTCCATGACAAATTACTACCATTACCCTAAATGGGAGCAGAGAGATTCTCCAAAAATAATGAGTTTATTCCAGAAAGAGTAGGACAGGTGTACTATGCATGCCATAGTAAACTTTGAGTGTATTCAGAAGGCAAAAGTTTTTAAAGATAAAAGATTTTTAGAGGTAAAGGGAGGAGGATTGCATAAATTGTCTTGAAACCACCATCTTTGGTTACAAGGATCAATAATGAGGGTGGCCACGTTCGTCCAAGGTTAGGCAGGCTGCTGCTGGGCACAGGTCCTCACAGATGTATTTCTTGTGTGAGGTTGCTGTGGTCTTGAGGCAAGGTCATGGTCGGCCAATCTCCTGTGCTTCTTCTTGTAATCAGACATGAGATCTCCTCCTTTGTGACTTCCCGGCTTTCCTTATGTATTCTTGTTAGGATTTGACACAAGTGACTCCATTTTGATTCTGACAACTTTCACACCAAAAACTTGGCAGCCAAAAATGATTAAAATTTTACGTTCTCATCATTCTGGAAGCTAGAAGTCTCAGATCAAGGTGCCAGCAGGATTGGTTCCTTCTGGAGGCTCTGAAGAGAAAAAAAAAAAAAAAACTTGCCAT